CTTCTCAGATGCGAGTAAGAGTGTGAGTAGATTGTATTGCACGTGTCTATTCTAATCATACTATGCTCAATTATATTTAGCAGAGAACAGGAAAGTAAAGATAAATAGAACCTCCGGAGAAAAAAAGGTAGAGAGGAAACGGAAGCAACTCAAAAGAAATAAGAACAAGAGAATTAGCAAGAAAGCATACCAGCTGAAGGAGTCCAAAGATAAAGTGAGGAAGCTGAGAGCTGGTCGCCATGACACCAGAGATGAAGGTGACGACAAATACGGAGGAGGAGGCAACACTTGCGAGGATACGGGCGGACGGTGTCACCCCAAGAAATACAAGTGTAAGAAGATTAAAGCCAAGGGATGCGCAAGAGGAGAAAAATGCTGTAAGTAACTCCTAAGTGTGTGTGTATGTACTTATCTAGTTGTACTTACCTAGTTGTGCTTGCGGGGGTTGAGCTCTGGCTCTTTGGTCCCGCCTCTCAACTGTCAATCAGCTAATGTACAGGTTCCTGAGCCTACTGGGCTCTATCATATCTACACTTGAAGCTGTGTATGGAGTCAGCCTCCACTACATCACTTCCTAATGCATTCCATTTGTCTACAACTCTGAAACTGAAAAAATTCTTTCTAACGTCTCTATGGCTTATTTGAGCACTCAATTTCCACCTGTGTCCCCTAGTGAGTGTGCCCCTTGTGTTAAATAGTCTGTCTTTATCTACCCTATCAATTCCTCTAAGATTCTTGTATGTGATGATCATGTTCCCTCTAACTCTTCTGTCTCCCAGTGACGTGAGGTTTAATTCCCGTAGTCTCTGCTCTTAGCTCATTCCCCCCAGCTCGGGTACTAGTCTGGTGGCAAACCTTGGAACCTTTTCCAGTTTAGTCTTATGCCTGACTTGATATGGACTCCATCCTGGAGCCGCATACTCCAGGATTGGTGTGACATATGTGGAATACAAAGTTCTGAAAGATTCCTTACACAGTATGTGTGTATTTACCTAGCAGTAGTTACAGGATGAGAGCTATGCTTGTGGTGTCCCGTCTTCCTAGCACTCTGTCATATAACGCTCTGAAACTACTGACGGTTTTGGCCTCCACCACCTTCTCACCTAACTTGTTCCAACTATCTACCAATCTATTTACGACAGTGAATTTTCTTATGTTTCTCCGGCATCTTTGTTTAGTTAGCTTGAATCTATGACCTCTTGTTCTTGAAGTTCCAGGTCTCAGGAAATCTTCCCAATCAATTTTATCAATTCCTGTTACTATTTTGAATGTAGTGACGATATCACATCTTTTTCGTGTCTTCTAGTTTTGGCATATTTAATGCCTATAACTTCTTCTCGTAGGTCTTGCCCTTCAGTTCTGGGAGCCACTTAGTAGCATGTCTTTGCACCTTTTCCAGTTAGTTGATGTGGTTCTTAAGATATTGGTACCACACAAACGATGCATATTCTAGCTTTGGCCTAACAAAAGTCGTGAACAATTTCTTTAGTATTTCTCCATCCAAGCATTTAAAAGTAATTCTGAAGTTAGAAAGTGTAGCATAAGCTCCTCTCACAACGTTCTTTATGTGGTCCTCAGGTGATAGTATTCTATCTAGAATCACCCCTAGATCTCTTTCTTTATCAGAAGTATTTAAAGATTTCTCACATAATTTATAGGTTGTGTGGGGTCTATGTTCTCCTATTCCACATTCCATAACATGGCATTTATTCACATTAAATTCCATTTGCCAAGTGTTGCCCCATATACTAATTTTGTCCAGGTCTTCTTGAAGGGCATGACAATCATCTAAGTTTCTTATCCTTCCTATTATCTTAGCATCATCAGCAAACATGTTCATATAATTCTGTATTCCAACTGGTAGATCGTTTATGTAGACAATAAACATTACCGGTGCATGAACTGAACCCTGTGGTACTCCACTCATGACAGTCCTCCAATCCGATACATTGCCTCTGATTACGGCCCTCATTTTTCTAAAGTTAGGAAGTTTTCATCAATGTTAGAGGCTTACCTGTCACCCCTTCAATATGTTCCAGTTTCCAGAACAACCTCTTATGTGTGTGTGTGTACTAACCTAATTGTGCTTGCGGGGGTTGAGCTCTGGCTCTTTGGTTCCGCCTCTCAACTGTCAATCAGCTGATGAACAGATTCCTGAGCCTACTGGGCTCTATCATATCTACATTTGAAACTGTGTATGGAGTCAGCCTCCACCACATCACTGCCTAATGCATTCCATCTGTTAACTACTCTGACACTGAAAAAGTTTATTCTAACGTCCCTGTGGCTTATTTGGGTACTAAGTTTCCACCTGTGTCCCCTTGTTTGCGTACCACCCGTGTTAAACAGGTTATCTTTATCTACCCTGTCAATTCCTCTGAGAATGTGTGTGTGTGTGTGTGTGTGTGTGTGTGTGTGTGTGTGTGTGTGTGTGTGTGTGTGTGTGTGTGTGTGTGTGTGTGTGTATAACCGGATGCTCTCCGATCAGTGATGATTTCAAACACTAATAAATATTAATGCAGTAAATATTACATGACAATGCTGCCGAGAACACATTTACTAGGATTATTAACCAATGATCTCTTGTATTTGTTTAATGAATTATATACTTTCAGAAGTGATCTCTAAATCCTGGACTTCGCCATTTATTCGCCTGTCGTATTTGGCAATAGATCAGACCTCTCTTGCTATATATTATTTACAAAGAAATAATATATATATATATATATATATATATATATATATATATATATATATATATATATATATATATATATATGCAACAATAATCACAAAAACACTGATCCAAGTATGCAGAAAAACCGCACGTGAAAAAAGAGAGAATGCTTATATTAAATATATATATATATATATATATATATATATATATATATATATATATATATATATATATATATATATATATATATATATATATATATATAATATATATATATAAAACACCTCTGATCAAACTGTAGGAACACATAGCCCCAGAGGACTTTGAATGTGAATGTTAAGAGGAAATAAAGGATATTAAGAGGAAATGTTTCCTAATGCCTTCAACCAATATCCTTCAGAAACCTCCCTGCATTCTCTTTCCATGCACCAAGGGTCTCTGATCCTATTGGATCACCTGCATGTTGTCATCCTATTATAATATGAATTTTGCACTGAAGGCGAATGGACTAATGCATATTTTACTTACAGGTGAAGGAACGCATGGTGGACCAGCACATCATGGTGGTATGGTGGGTCCCCCTGGTCACCCAGGTCGCCCTGGAATTGATGGAAAACCAGGTTTACCAGGTCCTGCAGGTCCTGTAGGTCCTGTAGGTCCTGTAGGTCCCCAAGGTCCTCCCGCAAAAGACGGAGTGCCCGGCACAAACGGTACTAACGGTATAAATGGTGTTCCTGGCATAAACGGTGCTCCAGGCAAGGATGGCTCTCCTGGAGTGGCCGGTCCTCCAGGCAAAGATGGCGCTCCTGGTATGGTCGGTCCTCCAGGCATGAACGGTTCAGCAGGCCAGAATGGCATTCCGGGCAAGGACGGTGCTAATGGCACAAACGGTGCACCCGGTATGAACGGTGCTCCAGGCTTGCCCGGTAATCCAGGCACGAAGGGAGATCCAGGCACCAACGGTATTCCAGGTACTAATGGTACTAACGGAAAAGACGGTGTTCCAGGTACTAATGGCGTTAATGGAACTAACGGCAAAGACGGTGCTACAGGAGCTCAAGGGATCCAAGGGATCCCAGGTCTTCCAGGTCCTCCAGGAGTCAATGGCATTAACGGTACTAACGGAACACCAGGTTTTAATGGTACTAATGGTCTACCAGGTTCTCAAGGTCCTCCAGGATCTATAGGTGCATCAGGACCTCCTGGACCAGCAGGATCTGCAGGACCACCAGGAGCCACAGGGTCTCAGGGAGCTGTAGGTCCTGTAGGCCCAGCAGGACCTGCAGGAGCAAATGGAACGAATGGTTCACCTGGACCGCCAGGAGCACAAGGAGCTACTGGAGTTCCAGGACCATCAGGAGCTTCTGGAGCTACTGGAGCTCAAGGAGCAACTGGTGCTATAGGTCCAAGTGGACCTCAAGGAGTAAGTGGGCCTCCAGGTCCTTCAGGGCCTCCAGGAGCTACTGGTGGTACTGGACCACCTGGGCCCCCAGGACCTTCTGGTCCCCCAGGTTCAAACAGTCCTCCCGGAAACTCAGGAGGAGGGTAGGACCTGGGAAGTAAAAGTTGTCCTTCAAACTGCAAACCGAAGATTTGCAGCTAAGGTGACTGAACTGTTGGAGAAAGTGGAATTGTAATACGCATTAGGTAAATTGATTACGTAAATGGATGAACACCTACAGCCAGGACAACTGAAAAGGTACATTGATCAACTCCTACAGTCAGGCCTACAGGTGTAGAGGTGAATGGCTCCACAACCTGTAACTCGTTACTAAGCAATGAGAACCAGCGCATTGCATGCTGTATAGTGCAGTTGAGTCCTCCATATTATATAATGTTTTTTGTTGTTAGCTTGTTCCACATGTAATTTGTTTCAAAGTTGTTATTGCATTTTCTTTACCAGCTGATTCATACAGAAGTGAAAGTGTTTCTTCACCAAAACTGTCACCAGATATTGCATTAGTTATCATGCCATCAATTATTGTATTAGTTGAGTTATCAACCGCTATGTTTGGTGACGCAAACGTACCCAAATGTTGTTTATACAATTTAAGTATATTGTTGCATAAAATATAAAAATTGATTCTCTCTGTGGAACTTTATGATTGGCTGTAATATATTTATTTTAATATAATTTGCATATCAGTAATTTATATTTTTTTCCTTACATTAATTTTAAAAGATTTTACTAACATGTACAAGCATAGACAAATCTCATAGCAACAAGCAGAGACATATAGTAGTATATGGTGAGCTTTATTTGCGAAAGATCACCATACCTAATAGTCAGAATCGGACAAGTGAGCCTTGGAAGCATGGATTACTTTGCCTTGTGCCCAGAGCCTCAGTGCAGAAATCTGTGTATACCTAATGGAATTACAATATTACAAAAGTTGTCATACCTTTAAGTACTGCAGCTTTTAGGTATCTGGGCATTTCTTAGTTCTTCTAAATCTGAAGGAATTTCTTTAATTTGCATGTTTCTAATAATTGCATTAGATATTCCAAAGTCATAAACAATGTTCTCATTCCTGCCTCATTGGCCAATCGATCTACACAGTCATGTTTTTCAACTCAAACATGGGATGAGATCCACGCAAATTTTATTGAAAAGTTATTATCATTGGGAAAAATTACATTACATTTAATATTATAAGCTACTTCAGACATACATTGTGATGGCGTATTTAAGGACTGCAGAGCACTTTTAGAGTCACAATATATCACTCCACCCCCATTGAGCTTAAGGTACACAGTGGCTAGATAAATACCCAGCGGCTCAGTTTATGTCGTGCTTGCCTAGTTGTTTAATCTCTATGACATAGATATTATCATTTCATTCCCTTTATATACTGCCCATGCCCAACCTGTTCTACAAGTGCCTAATTGCACAGAACCATCAGTAAAGGCATAAGATTCAGTTGGCTTGAGATTTTGAAGATGACTGTCAATAGCTTCTGGTGTTATACATCTCATAGTTTCAGTGATATAGATTTGTTTTACACTGATGGGGGGTATAATGTATAGAGACCTGCACATTTTTCCAAGGGGAAATACAGTGAACAATTTTATCAGGACTAAGAGACACATTCAGTTTCATAAGATTATTGGCACAACAACTGAGTCACACATTGTAAGGAGCATTTTGTGGCGGATTGCGTGAAGTCAGAATTGTTTAGAATGGATCTCAATTTAATTTGAATAGAGATGATGGGGGGGGGACCATTATTTAAAAAAATGCACAAAACATAGTATTAAGTAGAATTATTCTCTCACAAATAGAAGGTAATCTTAGTTCCTTTCTCATGTTAACAATTCTGACAGTTCTAGGACAACCCAAGATGATGCGTATGACATCATTTTGTACTACATCTAGGACTGGTAATTGTTTAGGAGAAAATTTAAGATGTGAAGCATAATTATCAACAGATCGTAAGAAGGCAATATAAAAACTACGAGTATATTTTATGTTAATGCCAAATCCTTTACCCTCAAGAGTTTTGAGAGGTTTAAGGTTTAAAGGGAGGAGAGGTTTAAAACTTGTTAAAACTTAACAAGTGTTTTTGCTTGTTCGCAAAAAAAAAAAAAACTAGTTTTTTGCGAACGTTGCTGATGAGATTTGTATCATTAACCTCGATTCCAAGATACTTATAAGACTCCCAAGTCTCCACAGGCACTCCATTAATAGTATAGTTAACATGAAGAAAATGAGGAATAAGAAACCTTGTTTTATCAACAGAGATTATGAGGCCACATTTTACTACTTTTTTGGAAGATGCATCAAGTAAGGCTTGTAGTCCTGGTTTACTGTGTGCCATAATACATATATCATCAACATAACATATAACAGTTTCAGTAGGTTGTACACGTATGTCATGGATAAGTTTGTGCTGAAGTATATTAAAGAGCATAGGGCTTAGGACACCACCTTGACGTGTGCCTAGTTCGAATGCACTTGTTATTGTACTTTTAACTCCTTTAAATATGACACTAGCATGCGTGCTGGATAGGTAGCTTTTTATCCAACTTAGATGATTACCTTTGATTCCAAATTCAGCAATTTGCACTAATAATAGCCTAACAGTTGCAATCTTGGGTATAATTAAGTACATATATGTACTATAGCAAGGCTTGCAAAAGTTAGATTTGATTGTTGCCTTCTTTCACGTGTTCTATTCAAAATTAGCACCACAAACAGTGAACTTTTTTTTATTTGTCCGACAACCCATATTGTGTATTTTCATCCAGAGTAACTAGTTTTTGAATGACAGGTTGACCGACACCTAGGTTTAAGTAACTTTAAGCGGCTCCATTATTAATTTGAGAACGCTCCTTTCTCATTCCTTCAGTACAACACTTGTTATACATAAAAAAAACATATTGAAAGCGTGTCTAAAATACACTAAAAAACTTATACATAGTTTACTACTTTTTCACTACATTTGTTATGAGTTCACTGACAGCCATTAAACTCGTGGGTCGTTTCGTATTCCGTGTGGAATTGAGGAAACACCTGCAGGATCGTACAGCGCATGCGTCGTTCGTGTTCAAAGATCTTTATAAATGATATACAATCAACGCAACTCACTCGACACCTTATTCAGGAAGATGGTGGCGCTGAGAGCGTTGCTGCTGGTGCTGCTGCTGGTAATGGCAGCAGTGACACATGTGCAGGTAAGTCTACACAACTTGTAAGCACAGGAAAACTTTAACAAGTTCAGCTCCCTGTTGTTATTATATATATCAGAAAAACTCATCCTCGTGAAGGGTTCGAACCTTAGACAGCAAGGCGCTCTAAACACTTATCCAGTACCATACACATTTGACCACAACTGACTGTTGAAATAATTGGAAGTTTGTTAGACTCTTAACCCAATTGCCAACAGCACTCGGTGGCAAGCGGGCACAGATAATTTTCATCAAATCAATTCAGTATATGAGGAAAGCTTGAGCATCATATGCACGACAAGCTTGAATGGTTGCCAAGACATAAGTATCAGAAAAACTCTTCCTCATGAGGGGTTCAAACCTCAGACAGCCAGGCGCTCCAAACCACACCTATATATTGTGCATTTTTAATTTTATTTTATTTAAAACTTCATTACACAATATATATAATTAATATTGTGATTAAGTAATCACAATAATAAAATTAATATTGTAAGATTAATGATTCTAACACGAATCTTCTCAATATTTCTTATGGTTTTTCTTCACTGTCGATGGAAGCTGAAAAATTCTCTCTCTAAAATTCATTTACTCACTAAAAACCCCGAGCCAATGCAGAGACAGGATCCAATAACCTTGCCTTAGGAACATAACCAACCCATATTGATGCATTTAATATACTAGTAATATTCCCTATGTTATGCCATAAATTTATACCATAGCATAAATTTAACAAATAATTGTGCAGGGCGGCAAGAGAGACTGTGAGGCGGCTGGCGGGAGCTGTGTTCCCGCCAAAACCTGTGACGTCACCCCTTCTGAACATGGCTGCCAGGAGCAAGATGCAGTCTGCTGCATTAATACTCCAACACAAGGTGAGGTTTAAACATTTTACCTTGAGGTTCATTTTAGGATGTCTGAACATGTTGGCGTTTGCAGACGAGGAGCCACAATAACGTGGCTGAAATATGCTGACCAAACCACTTTCTAGTGTGTGGTTTGGTCAACATGTTGGCGTTTTATGTAAGAATGTCTGCAGTGATCTATATCACAGTAGTTTGTGCAATCAGCTCAAAACCTAACTTATTCTTTCGATTACCATTCCCTAAAAGTGCATCAGTTTTCCCTAACCACAATTGTTAGAGCCTAGGCAACCCACCTAATCCACCGAAGCCTAATACTCACTAGTTACAGAAAGTCAGTATTGCGGTAATATCAATTTTTCAAAACCACAACAATTTTTACTTTGGGGTCGATAGCTCCACGAAATTTAAGTGTTCAATAAGAGAACAAGTTGGACGGAGACACACACACACACACACCTAAGAGGCATGAGTTACGAGGAAAGGCTGCGCGAAATGCACCTCCCGACACTGGAAGAGAGAGAGTAAGGAGCAGACATGATCACTACCTACAAAATTTTCAGGGTGGATAAGGATAAATTGTTTAACACAGGTAGTACGCGAACAAGGGGACACAGGTGGAGACTGAGTACCCAAATGAGCCACAGGGATGTTAGAAACAACTTTTTCACCATCAGAGTAGTTAACAAATGGAATGCATTATGCAGTGATGTGGTGGAGGCAGACTCCATACACAGTTTCAAATGTAGATATGATAAGAGCCCAATAGGCTCCGGAATCTGTACACCAGTTGACTGACAGTTGAGGCTGGACCAAAGAGCCAGACCTCAAACCCCGCAAGCACAAATAGGTGAGTACACACACTGCACAACCCGTTGTCTCATATCTACTTTTGATGTTGAGAATGATTTGACTTCAACATCATCAACTACTTGATTTCAATTTCCTACTACTCTTATGCTAAATGAGTACTTTCTTATATTGATATAAGTTATGTCACTTGGCCTTTTACCCCCATTAAAAGCACCGAATCACCTTCTGTGGTTGAGTGTTCAATAGACCCTTGAACTGTATGTTTAACACTTCTCTAACCCTGTCCATGGAGGACAGAAGAAAATGTATATATGCTGGTTAGCATTGTAAATGTGTGGCCACGTCTGTGGTAGAAAATAATAATATAAAAAAAAAAAAACATTAAATTTCTAGAAGTGTTTTTGTGTCTCTACCATGTCTCCGCTCTCATCTTTTAGCATGGTTAGGTCCAGCGCTTCCTACCTTTCTTCCTAATCCATCCCATGAAATTCTTGGTTAGCCGCCGATGGAAGCCTCTGTACCATCAAGTTCCCGTTTTTGCTTTTAAATGTAGATTCTTCACGACTGAGGTCGATGTTAAGAGATCTGAATGCCTCTTATCAATTTCCTGAATTTAATTCAAATGTTTGTTAGCTTAGAGAATGCTACTGACTTTATCATATTTACAAATACCTCTGGTATACAGCTTAGGACATTTTCTCTAGTAGTTTCAGGGAGGTGATTCCGCTTCACTGTGTTCATTTACTGGTATTGATTTACAGTACCCCTTTGAACGAAAAATTCTGTAATCCGACTAGGTCTCCCTAAGTTTTCTACATTCTTTCTGTCCAGACAATTATCAATATTTTGAATCGTCTGCAAAAATTTACACGTAGGGCTCTACCTAGGTTTGTACCTCAATTTTGATTAGGAATTGTAATTGTCAGATCAGTACTAGGACCTATTCGACCAATCAGATCGGTCCTAGCCTAGGACTGACTACGCTAATTCGACTTCTCGTTCTAAACACTGACACACTGCTTCCTTTTTGTTATACACTCTCACCCAGTTCAGTGCTTTTTCGGTCATTCCTGTCTGTTTCTCAAATGTGCGGTAGCATCAAGAATTGCTTCACAGGCTACTTGGCAGTTTAGGAATATACAGTGCGTGTGCGGAGGAAGAGTGGGGGAACAGGTGGAGTATATTTATTAATTCCTCATATTTCTACAGAGAATACTGAACAAAAGAAACACAGAACCTTCAGAAACAAAAAGGCTAAAAGGATAAGGAAGCAAGACAAGCTAAATAAGAAAAAGAGAATTAGCAAGAAAGCATACCGGCTGAAGGAGCCCAAAGATAAAGTGAGGAAGCTGAGAGCTGGTCGCCATGACACCAGAGATGAAGGTGACGACAGAGACGGATATGGAGAAGGAGGCAACGCTTGCAAGGAGATGGGCGGACAGTGTCACCCCAAGAAATACAAGTGTAAGAAGATTAAAGCCAAGGGATGTGCAAGAGGAGAAAAATGCTGTAAGTAGAAAGTGTGTAGATGTACTGTGATATATATATATATATATATATATATATATATATATATATATATATATATATATATATATATATATATATATATATATATATATATATATATATATATATATATATATATATATATATATACTGGTATTGATTTACAGTACCCCTTTGAACGAACAATTCTATATATAATATATATATAATATATATATATATATATATATATATATATATATATATATATATATATATATATATATATATATATATGAGGCACAACTCTCCTAAATACGAGAGTGAAGTTATACAACTTTAGAACACTTTCCCACCAGGAGACTCGAACCCTAGCCAGCACAGAAGCCTTCCAGCAACTGGCATAACAGGTACGCCTTAACCTACTGCACCACCGCTCAGACACCTAAGTCTGAGTCTCGTGGTGGGAAAGTGGGTTCGAGTCTCCTTGTGGGAAAGTGTTCTAAAGTTGTATGTATATATATATCAATATATATATATATATATATATATATATATATATATATATATATATATATATATATATATATATATATATATATATATATATATACACTGTATATATATATATATATACACTGTATATACACTGTATATATACACTATATATATATACATATATATATATATATATATATATATATATATATATATATATATATATATATATATATAACATTCGCAGATAAATGGGATGGGAGATGAACGTTTCAGCTGGTTAGAGCCGTTGTCAACACCAGACTGACTAAGAGAAGCAGGGAGGGTGGAGGCCAACATATACGACCTGATCACCTATAAAATATTATATACACTGTAGTATGTACTCCGTCCCTCGCAATGAGTGTGCATGTGTTTACATCGACCAGACTGGCAAATCTCTTTCTACATGTTTAAAACAACATTCATATGCTATCCGTACAACCCAGCACTCTAGTGCATGGTATTTATATTCCAGTTTATGTGATCATTCTATCGACTACAGAGGGGCGAAATGTATTGTTAAAAGTAAGGTTTTCGTTGAACGAAATGTAATTGAGTCCGCTATTATCAAACAATGTAGCAACAGCCTTAATGTAAGCCTTGGCATGAGCAAATTAGATCCCCATATAAGGTTCAATATAGCACGTCAATACAATATAGCATCCATTTAACCTGTGTATATTTATTTATTTATTTCCATCCGCCGGCACTTCTATATATTATCCAGTGTTGTTGTTTTGTACAGTTATCCTTATTTGCCCCATTCCTTCGCCCTTATTCGTTCCCTATTATCCGTAAGTTTCATCCCTTATCTTGGTTGTCCGGTGACCTGCCCTGGCGGGTATAGCGTCTGTCTACCATGTTTCCTTCTTCATTCTATTTTGGTCTCATGAAGGTGAATTGAGCCGAAAACCCATTTAGCATTCTCTATTTGTATCAGTTTTTGTGATAGTTGTTGCATAAATATATATATATATATATATATATATATATATATATATATATATATATATATATGTCGTACCTAGTAGCCAGAACGCACTTATCAGCCTACTATGCAAGGCCCGAATTGCCTAATAAGCCAAATTTTCCTGAATTAATATATTTTTTCTATTTTTTTTCTTATGAAATGATAAAGCTACCCATTTCATTATGTATGAGGTAAATTTTTTTTTATTGGAGTTGAAATTAACGTAGATATATGACCGAACCTAACCAACCCTACCTAACCTAACCTATCTTTATAGGTTAGGTTAGGTTAGGTAGCCGAAAAAGTTAGGTTAGGTTAGGTTAGGTTAGGTAGGTTAGGTTGTCGAAAAACAATTATTTCATGAAAATTTGGCTTATTAGGCAAATCGGGCCTTGCATAGTAGGCTGATAAGTGCGTTCTGGCTACTAGGTACGACATATATATATATATATATATATATATATATATATATATATAAAACACCTATGATCCATTTGCAGGGACCCATAGCCTCGGAGAAGAGCTATAAATGTTAAGAGAAAAAAAAAAGGAAGTTTGTTTCCCAGAGGCGTAGATTTCTTCGAACTCCTCCAACGCGCTGCAGCAACCGATGATACAGGAGGCATTTTCCCTCTAGATCGCCACACTGAGGCGCTGGAAAAGGAAAATTGCTGCTCTAGGGTCTCTTGTTGTTTTCTAATGCCATCAACCGAGATTCTTCAGAAACTTGCACTCTCTCCCCATGGCCCAAGAGTCTCTGATCCTATTGGAACAAAGTTGTCATTCTTTTTTATGAACTGTGCACTAAAGACGAATTGACTGATGCTTATTTTACTTACAGGTGAAGGAACCCATGGTGGACCAGAACACCATGGTGGTATGATGGGTCCCCCTGGTCACCCAGGTCGCCCTGGAGCTGTTGGAAAACCAGGTCCTCCCGGTCCTGCAGGGCCGGTAGGTCCTTCAGGGCCGGTAGGTCCCTCAGGTCCCCAAGGTCCTCCCGGAAAAGGCGGAATACCTGGCACAAACGGTACTAACGGTATAAATGGTGTTCCTGGCATAAACGGTACTCAAGGCAAGGCTGGCTCTCCTGGAGTGGCCGGTCCTCCAGGCAAAGATGGCGCTCCTGGTATGGTCGGTCCTCCAGGCATGAACGGTTCAGCAGGAAAGAATGGCATTCCGGGCAAGGACGGTGCTAATGGCACAAACGGTGCACCCGGTATGGACGGTGCTCCAGGCTTGCCCGGTCATCCAGGCAGGAGGGGAGAGCCAGGCACCAACGGTATTCCAGGTACTAATGGTTCTAACGGCAAAGACGGTGTTCCAGGTATTAATGGCGTTAATGGTACTAACGGTAAAGACGGTGCTACAGGAGCTCAAGGGATTCGAGGTCTCCCAGGTCTTCCAGGTCCTCCAGGAGTCAATGGCATTAACGGTGCTAACGGAGCACCAGGTTTTAATGGTACTAATGGTCTACCAGGTTCTCAAGGTCCTCCAGGATCTATAGGTGCATCAGGACCTCCTGGACCAGCAGGACCTGCAGGACCACCAGGAGCCACAGGGTCACAGGGAGCTGTAGGTCCTGTAGGCCCAGCAGGACCTGCAGGAGCAAATGGAACAAATGGTGCACCTGGACCACCAGGAGCACAAGGAGCTACTGGAGTTCCGGGACCACCAGGTGCTACTGGAGCTCCAGGAGCAGAAGGAGCAACTGGTGCTATAGGTCCAAGTGGACCTCAAGGAGTAAGTGGGCCTCCAGGTCCTCCAGGGCCTCCAGGAGCTACTGGTGTTGCAGGACCACCTGGGTCTCCAGGACCTCCTGGTCCCCCAGGTTCATCAAATCCTCCTGGAAACTCAGGAGGAGGTAAGAAGTAAAAGTTGTCCACAGTCTACAAGCCAAAGTATTGCAGCTAAGGTGATTGGACTGTTGAAGAAAAGTGGAACTGGAATATCCATTAGGTAAACTGATTATGTATATGGATGAACACCTACAGCCAGAACAACTGAGGTGTATGGATCAATACCCACAGCCAGCACTACAGAAAGGTACATGGATCAACTCCCAGTCAGGCCTACATGCGTAGAGGTGAATGGCTCCACAACCTGTAACTCGTTACTAAGCAATGAGAACCAACGCACTGCATGCTGTATACTACAGTTGAGTTCTCTATATTTTTTCTGATGGTTCTTGTTGTCTGGTTGTTCCACAGGTAATTTATTTCAAAGTTGTTATTCTATTTGCTTTATCAGCTGACTCATACAGAAGTGAAAATGTCTCTTCACCAAAATTGTCATCAGTTATTGTATTAGTTATATGTCATCAATTATTGTATTAGCTGAGTTATCAACCGCTATGTTTGGCGACGCAAATGTACCCAAATGTTGTTATTTATACTATTTATTAAGTATATTATTGCATAAAAAATTAAAATGGCTTCTTTCTGTGGAACTTCATGATTGGCTGTAATATTTTTTTTTTAAATATAATTTGCATATTAGTAATTTATATTTTTTTCCTTACATTATTTTTGTAAATATTTTACTAACATGTACAAGCATAGACAACACTCACAGCAACAAGCATACACATATAGTACTATATAGTGAGCTTTATCTACGAAAAATCACCATAACTAATAGTCAGAATCGCACAAGTGAGCCTTGGTAGCATGGATTGTTTTGCCAGAGACCCAGATCCACAGTGTAGAAATCAGTGTATACCTAATGGAATTACCAAATTTATTTATCGGTTTAGTTATATATTGATGCTTAAAATATGTCTTCATTTAGAAAGTCATGGAACGTCTTGTTTAATTATGTTTGTTGTTTTGTTTTGATGCTGCATCAAATACACAAGTTGGCATACCTTGTTATAAATAGAACAAGTATTTAAATAAATTCTTATCTTTTAAGTAAACTCGCTATTAATTAAGACATATATGTATCGCTCTACGATCGTGTATCGGACACTATCGCGCCCGGCGCGTGAGCGTTGCAGACTTTGACGTCAAGGGGCGGGAGGTGCGGGCGAGCGTGCGGCGACGCCTGAATGTGTATACTCGTTTCAGTTTTCTCACCTTAATTCTAGTGCTACGTCGTTCGTTTTGGTATCATTGTGTTCGCAATAGAATTGCCTACAGGTGTATATGCATATAATGCCCAAAAGCCCGGCGTGACTCCCCACAGCAAAGCCTAAAGTAGGCAAAAGTTACCCGTTAGCGCACAAAATCAGTAAAATGTGTATACTCGCTTCAGTTTTTTTCACCTTAATTCTCGTGCTACGTTGTTCGTTTTTGTATCATTGTGTTCGCAATTAAATTCCCTGCAGGTGTATATGCATATAATGTCCAAAAACCTGGCGAGACTCCCCGTAGCAAAGCCTAAAGTTACCCGTGAGCGAGCACCAATTTGCACACCGCAACCTAATGTACTCACCTAGTTGTTTTTGCGGGGATTGAGCTCTGGCTCTTTGGTCCCGCCTCTCAACTGTCAATCAACTGGTGTATAGATTCCTGAGCCTATTGGGCTCTATCATATCTACATTTGAAACTGTATGGAGTCTGCCTCCACCACAACACTACTTAATGCATTCCATTTGTTAACTACCCTGACACTGAAAAAATTATTTTTAATGTCTCTGTGGCTCATCTGGGTACTAAGTTTCCACCTGTGTCCCCTTGTTCGTGTTCCACCCGCGCTAATGTGTATACTCGTTCTGTTTGATAACATCAATTTTCATGTTACGTCGCTCGTTTTGGTATCAAATTGTTCGCAATATAAAGGCGCGTATTTTAAAACTAGTCTCATAGTAATAGAACAATAACTGGAATTTTAACAAATATTTTAATTTTGGACGCTCATCATCACATAATTATTTATATCTTTCCAGTGTTCTGACATAAATTTTCGCGTTACATCTTTCATTTTGGTATCAAATTGTTTGCAATTTAAAGGCGCGCATTTTAAAACTAGTCCCATAATAATAGCACAATAAATAGAATTTTAACAAATATTTTAAAATGTTAAAATTTGACCCAAAAACGTATTTATAATCTTTCAAGTGTTCTGACATCAAGTTTCCTGTTACATCTTTCATTTTAGTATCAAATTGTGCGCACTCTAAAGGCGCTCATTTTGAAACTATCCTAAAGTCGATCAGATTAAAAATGAATTTTATACAAATATTTTTGTTCTGGACGCAAGTCCTGTCCAAAGCTAGGACTCAAGAGAAAAAAAGTGGACGCAAGTCATGTCCAAAGAGTTAATAACGAGACATATTCTGCTGAATCTCCTTGTAAAGTTTTAAATGTATTTTTGCAATAATGATAATGCAAACTATATTACACAAGATTCATTTAAACTATTGTGATTATTAGAATCAGCTCTTGTTCCGTTCGTGCCACATGGTATGCGAGCGTGTGTAATACTGGAGTCCTGTTGCTGCTTAGTTTGAAAGGTCATTACAGCAACCACTCATCAAAAAATTGTATTAAGTCTAAGGATACTATAAACGGAATGTACAAAATATTGACGGATGTACCCAAAAATGGTTGTTTTGTAGCACTGGAATACTAAAAAAGCATAAGCAAATGACGTTAACCATAAACTTTACCGGGCTTGGATATATATAAACAATCCTTTGTTTAATATTTGCAATCTTGGGTCTAATTAAATATACTGTATATATGTACTATAACAGGGCCAGCAATAGTTAAATTAGATTGTTGCCTTCTTTCACGTGTTCTATTCAAAATTAACACCACAAACAGTGGCCCTTTTTTTCAACAACCCATATTGCGTATTTCCATCCAATTTGGGTTGGATGGAAGTAACTACTTTCAAACTACTAATACTGCTTTTGGAAGACAGGTTGAACGACACCTAGATTTAAATAACTTAAAGTGGCCCATTATTAATTTGAGAATGTTCCGTCCTCCTTCAATTCAGTACAGCACCTCATATATGTACAAAAACATTTTGAAAGCATGTCTGAAATTCAAAAGAAATTACTCCTAGTTTACTACTATTCCACTCATTTGTTATGAGTTGAGTGACAACACATTAAAATTGTGGGTCGTTTCGTATTCCGTTTAGATGTTGTTTTAGATTCAGCTACTTGGAAAAAAAGTTCCAAGAAGCAAAATGTTCCAAGTAGTACTTGGAACAAAAGTTCCAAGTAGCACGGGCTATGGCACGTAGTGGACGTTTTGTTTGGAGCTGAGGAAACACCTGGAGGATCGAACAGCGCATGCGTCGTTCGTGTTCAAAGATCTCTATAATATACAATCAACGCAACTCACTCGACACCTTATTCAGGAAGATGGTGGCGCTGAGAGCGTTGCTGCTGGTGCTGCTGCTGGTAATGGCAGCAGTGACACATGTGCAGGTAAGTCTACACAACTTGTAAGCACAGGAAAACGTTTACAAGTTCAGCTCCTTGTTGTTTTATTAAATATATATTATAAAGTTTTGAGGGTGCCACATCTGGTGCAATTGTAGGGACCCACACAATTGTAGCCTCAGAAAATAATATATATATATATATATATATATATATATATATATATATATATATATATATATATATATATATATATATATATATATATATATATATATATATATATAATATATATATATATATATATACATAAATTTAACAAATAATTGTGCAGGGCGGCAGGAGAGACTGTGAGGCGGCTGGCGGGAGCTGTGTTCCCGCCAAAACCTGTGACGTCACCCCTTCTGAACATGGCTGCCAGGAGCAAGATGCAGTCTGCTGCATTAATACTCCAACACAAGGTGAGGCTTGAACATCCTCCCTTCAAGTTCATTTTAGTATGTCTGAACATGTTGGCGTTTTATGTTAAAATGTCTGCAGTGATCTGTATCACAGTAGTTTGTGCAATCAGCTCAAAACCTCAACTGTAAAAACCTAGGCAACCCACCTAGCCTATCGAAGCCTAATACTCATAAGTTACAGTAAGTCAGTATTACGGTAATATTAATTTCTTAAAACACAGCAATTTTTATTTTAGGATCGATAGCGTCAAAACTGTATATGTTCATGAAGAGGACACGCGGGCGCTCGGCACACATACTGCACAACCCGTTAGCTCATATCTACTTTTGATGTTGAGGGTGATTTGACTTCTACATCATCAACAACTTGATTTCCATTTCCTACTACTCTTATGCTAAATTATGTCACTTGCCCTTTTAACCCCAGTAAATTTCCGGAAACGTTTTGTCTTTACCATCACCGCTCACTTATCTCCTTTTAGCATGGTTAGGCCTAGCGCTTCCAACCTTTCTTCCTACTCCATACCATAAAATTCTTGGTTAGGAGCCGATGGAAGCCTCTGTACCCTTTCAAGTTCCCGTTTTTGGAGGTAAATGTTGGTACTCCACGACGGGGGTCGATGTTCTACGTGTGATCACACGTATAGAGATCTGAATGCCTCTTTAATGAATTTCCCGAATTCAAATGTTTATTCGTTTAATGTATGTTACTGACGTTATTATATTTACAAACAGCTCGGGGATACAGCTAGGTGTTACATCAACTTCTAGAACATTTTCTCTAGTTGTTTCAGGGAGGTGATTCCGTTTCACTGTGTACATTAACATGTATTGATTTCCAGTACCCCTTGGAAAGAACAATTCTGCAATCTGACTAGGTCTCCTTTAGTTTTCTACACTCTTTCTGTCCAGACAATTATTATTATTTTGAAACTTCTGCAAAAATTTTCATGTAGGACTCTACTTATGTTTGGACTTGAATATTAATTACGAAGTGTAATTGTCAAACCAGTTCTAGGACCTATCTGACTTGTCAGCTCGGTCCTAGCCTAGGACTGACTACGCTAATCCAACTTCTCGTTTCAAACACTGACACACTACTTCCTCTTTGTTACATACACTCTCACCCAGTTCAACGATCATCCGTCACTCCTGTCTGTTTCTCAAATGTGTGGTGGTAGCATCCAGAATTGCTTCAGAGGCTACTTGGCAGTCTAGGAATATGAAGTGCCTGTGTGGAGGAAGGGTGGGAGAGCGGGTGGAGTGTATTAATAATTCCTCATATTTCTACAGAGAACACTGAACAAAAGAAACGCAGAACCTCCGAAAACAAAAAGCCTAAAGAGATAAGGAAGCAAGACAAGATAAATAAGAACAAGATAATTAAGAAACCATATAAGCTGAAGAAGCACAAAAAGAACATGAACAAAATAAGAGCTGGTATCGCAGACAATGATGCTGTAGAGCACAGAGGGAGATATGGAGGAGGAGGCAACACTTGCGAGGAGACGGGCGGACGGTGTCACCCCAAGAATTACAAGTGTAAGACGAGTAAAGCCAAGGGATGCGCAAGAGGAGAAAAATGCTGTGAGTTGTTCGTCATGTACCTAGTAGCCAGAACGCACTTCTCCGCCTACTATGCAAAGCCTGCTGTGCCTAATAGGCAGTCATTTTCTTTATTTTCAAAAAATATTTCAAATTAGTTTATTTGAATTATTATTATATTATATTAGAACATATATTATTGACTTAGATATTTTAGTTTAGGTTACGTTAAGATAGGTTAGGTTAGGTTAGGTTAGGTATCGTTAGTTAGGTTCGGTCATAATATCTATGTTAGTTTTAACTCAAATTAAAAAAAATTAACTCATACATAATAAAATAGATAGCTTTATCATTTCATAAGAAAACAATTAAAGAATATATTCAGGAAAACTTGGCTTTTTAGGCAAATTTGGCCATGCATAGTAGGCTGAGAAGTGCGTTCTGGCTACTAGGTACATTATATATATATATATATATATATATATATATATATATATATATATATATATATATATATATATATATATATATATAGTCTTTGAGTACTCTTTATTTTCTTCTTTGAGGCTATGGGTCCCTACACTTGCACCAGAGGTGATACCCCTTCTAGGTTATATATATATATATATATATATATATATATATATATATATATATATAACTATATAATAATATTGAAGACTGTGAATGACATTGGAAAGAGATCACATTCAGTAAGATTTATGGTTAATGATCTGTTCAGTCGACCTCGTGCCACATGTCTTCAGTGCATTTTATTCCCTGAAGATTATTAGCCACCTCTGTGACCAGATTCAAAGTGTTCAGGTTCATAAGAAGCAATCTGCTCTCTGCAGGTCTAACCTTTTTCATTACTATAGCATTATTTAAGATAATTTTAAAAGATACGTTGCCAACCACCCCAAAAATAATTGTAAGTCATAAAACCTGATCCAATGGACTTTGCTCCCCCCCCCCTCCATATATAATGGAAACATTTAAACGCCCAGATCTCTTGGAAAAATGCCCCCCCCCTTCCCCCTTATATAATTGCAACATTTAAAACACAGACCCGTTGAAGAAACTGACCCCTTCCCCCTCCCCCTATATAAATGACATTTAAACACACAGATCCGATGGATCCACCCCCACATATATAATTATAACATACAAACATCAATATATAGGTAGACCCCGTCAACATATAGGTAGACTCTAAATTATATATAGGTAGACCCCGTCTACCTATATATAATAATAAAAATTAACACATCCGTTGGACGGATGTGTTAATTCTGTACTTTAGGTAATTCGGTAATTTTCCCCCATCCCCATATATAACTCTAAAACAAACAAATCCGTTGGAACCCCTTCCTCCATATACAATTGTAAAATAAACAAACAAATTTGTTGGACCCTCCCTCCCCCCCATATATAACTAAAATAAACCCAAATCCGTTGCATTTGGGTTTAGAAACACAATCCCCCCCCCCCTTATATAACTAAAACACAAATCTGGACCCCCCCCCCTCCCCATATATAAATAATAAATAAATGTTTATTCAGGTAAGGTACATACATACAAGAGATTTTACAAAAATTGATAGATTTATAGATAAAGCTAGTGCATACAATGCCTTAAGCCACTATTACGCAAAGCGTTTCGGGCAGTATAGTACTTATATTCTAGAATTTATATATAAGTATTTATATATAAATAAAAACACAAAACTGGCCCCCCCCTCTCCCCATATATAATAGTAAAATAAAAAAATCCATTAGACTCCCCTCCTTATACTGTATATATAATTATAAAATTTATATCCTCTACTTCTCCGTTGCCCACAGAAATAACTTAACAATTTAAACACCGTAAAATATAGTCTGAGGACATTATATCAATAATGGTATTTTTTAATGGATATTATTTTTATCATTATTTATGTTAAAATGTAATTAATGCATGTTTAATATAGAATTACCATTATCATTAATATAGAATTATTATTTAATAAAGAAATATGTGTATATATATATATATATATATATATATATATATATATATATATATATATATATATATATATATATATATATATATATATTACATTCTTATACGTGTTTATTTCGTGATATACATATATATATATATATATATATATATATATATATATATATATATATATATATATATATATATATATATATATATATATACACTACAAACATTAAATGTTAACATAGTAATGCTGTAACTTACCTGTTTCCGACGTGGCCACCTCGCCTATACGGATAAAGTCGACATTAACAATAGGAAATTAATTTAGAAAAACACTTACCACTATTTTGCTTGCAAGAAGTGCGCGCGCCTCCCTCTTATGGCGCCCTCTCTTCAGCCACCTCATTTATCCTCCTCGAGCAGGCGCATCCGCAATCCTCCATCTTTTCTGGATATGTTGATTGTCTGATGGTGGTGTCAGGTACAGTTTCATGGCTGATCCGTCTACTATGGGCGTCAGATGACGGTAAATTTTGGTATGGACACACAAGCAACAAGACTGTCCCGGGGTCGGCGCGCGAGTGACGTCCCGCCGGGCGCCATGCCCTGCCCACACCTCCAGGGTTGCCGCTAGTTAAATTATTAATATCATGAATTTTCCGATAACAGCCTCCTATCTTTACAGGTAGTTACTGGGTAAATTCTTTCGTTATATTTATAATTGGTAAAGGCCATTCAAGACCGTAAACTTAATATACTTTTATTGAGTATGATTAGTTTCATACGATCGTAAACGGGTATGTTATAGTGTTTAATTCCCATTTTTATAGACACCATCTCACATAAATGTTGTCCAGCATGATGACACAGACAGGGCAGCTAAAACTACATGTGATAAGCCTGAAATTTAGCTGGATATGGGCATTCCAATCTCTGCTGCAAAGCCGCTGTATTTCAGGAAATTCGGGAAGACAAAAGAGCAGTTACTGACACTCAAAGGCCAGACAGCACAAGTATAAAGAGCTATGATATGTTTAGAACCGGTAATTATATGCACGGGCAGCATTAAACATCCACTAGACAGTGTAACATTGTAATTACCAGAATTAGGCTGGGATATCGATATCTATGGCAGGTGGCTGCAGGAACTGAATCTCCTAATGGTGAACATTCCAATTGTAAATTATGTGAACATGAGCAAAGACATACTTTCCCACACTATATCTGTGATTGCCCTGTTATAAGTGATCTCAGACCAAATGGTATGAGGTACTTTGAGCTCTGTAACTACTTCATACACTCAGGAATATTGGAAGATGTATTCTTGTGCATTACCCAATGTGTGTAATCTATACTGTGTAATCTTCCATATAGAATAGGATAGCAACACATTGTTGTGTATATCTAAGCTTGTTAAAAAATAGAAATATAATATTTTGTAGTTTTGCCCCCATAATTTTAATTGCTAGACTATCGATGATATATTTTAATGTTTGATATTGGTTAATTTCAACCATAAAATATAGTTCAATAAATTGTCACTTATAAAAGTAAAGGAAATGTCCTCCGGAATCGTAGCTCAAAACAATCGTACAAGACACGATAAATTGTTACACTTGTGGCAGTTCCATCACTGTGCGTGGTATGCTTACCAGTGACACATAGTCAACGAATATACACACGGTGTATTAAGCTTTCAGATGCATATACACCGAGAGTGTGCTGAAAGTATAAACTTTGGCCGCGATCATAATCATATTTTTAGTTGGCAAAGCAAAATTGTAGTAAAACTTCAAGTACTGTACCGTAAAGTGACACCTGGGTGGAACTAAGATCAAATATAATAATAGGATACATATGATTTCTTTCTTAAAATCCTACTTTGCAAGCCAATATCCAATTATATTGTGCTTTCTTCCCTGTTTGAGTGATACATTGCATAGCCTAATAAAAGGTTTACAAAGAGCTTGTGTAGCCTCTCATAGCACCTTAGGCGATATTTCCCTGACCTTAAGGCATTTGCCACATCAAGTACTTTAAGATGCTTCCTCAATTCTTCCATTGTCATTTTTATGATTTCCAGTATCTCATGGAGGGGCCTTTTACGTTAGGCTTTAGTAGATACTTAGGATGTCAAACTTGCAGTAGACTCTCAAGGACTTCTCTGATCCCGCTAATCTCAATGTTGCCATCTCCACCCTTCTTTTGATTGGCAAATTGATCAGATGCTGACATTTTCATTCTAGTATGGCTATGCTTACACTTAGGCTGAAAGCTTATTCTGAAGACATTCTCAAACTGTGCCTCTGTCTCCCTTGTGCTTTGGTCTTACTGGTTTCTTGCTCTCTTGAACTCATTACAGTTCATGTCTATACATCGCCATATTGATATCAGTTATACATCAATACACTTTGATATTGATGTCAAGTCTGACAACATGTACTTACATTTATATACTTACATTCCGGCATCTGCCCGAAACGCTTTGCGTAATAGTGGCTTTAGGCATTGTATGTACTAGCTCTATCTATAAATTTTCTATAAATAAATCTATACATCGCCATATTGATATCAGTTATACATCAATACACTTTGATATTGATGTCAAGTCTGACAACATGTACTTACATTTATATACTTACATTCCGGCATCTGCCCGAAACGCTTTGCGTAATAGTGGCTTTAGGCATTGTATGTACTAGCTCTATCTATAAATCTATAAATTTTTGTAAAATCTCTTGTATGTATGTACCTTACCTGAATAAACATTTATTTATTATTATTTATTTATATATAGAGGACCATAAATAACATAGCCACGAAAATAATTAACAAAATGATTTCACGATATGTTATGTACTATGCATTGAAAGAACGAGTTCACTGTTGCATATTATCTTGCAGGTGCAGGTTGTCCGGCACACCACGGTGGCATGGTGGGTCCCCCGGGTCCCCCAGGTCCTCCTGGTAAACCTGGATCTGATGGACACGATGGTAAGCCAGGCCTTAACGGTCTTGCTGGTCCTGCAGGTTCTGTCGGTCCTACTGGCCCTTCCGGCATGCCAGGCCAAGATGGTCATCCCGGTCTAAATGGCGCCCAAGGCATGAAAGGCAATCCCGGTGATGAAGGCACTCCTGGTATTAAGGGTTTACCCGGAATGACAGGTGATCCTGGTGAGAAAGGTTCACCCGGATCTCCAGGTGTTAATGGCACTAACGGCATTGATGGAAAAGCAGGTCCTCCAGGTGCTGAAGGTCATCCAGGATCTCCAGGGCCTCCAGGTATTGCAGGTTCAATAGGACCAGCAGGATCTGCAGGACCCCCAGGTCCCTCAGGGCCTCCGGGACTTGCAGGATCAATGGGCCCTGAAGGACCTCAAGGACCAATGGGATCAAAAGGAAATCCTGGAAACCCTGGACCTCCAGGAGCTACTGGACCTTCAGGACCAACAGGAGCTAAAGGGGACACAGGAAACCAAGGACCTCCAGGATTTAACGGATCTCCAGGTCCACCAGGACCTCCAGGGTCTAATGGTTATCCAGGTAGTCCAGGACCCGAAGGAGCTACAGGCCCACCAGGTCCAACAGGACCTAAAGGAGAACCAGGAAAATATAAAAAGGAAAGTGAATGGTAAATAGTGGAAGTTGTCCTTCTTAGTCAGCAAATCAAAGTATCGCAGCTAAGGTGGCTGAACCGTTGGAAACTGTAATACCAACAGTCAGGTCTACTGAGAAGGTATATCGGTCAACAACCACACTCACGTCCACTGAGAAGGTATATGGATCAACAAATTGTTGTTGTTGTTAAAGATTCGCTACCTGGAACAAAGTTCCAAGTAGCACGGGCTATGGTGAGCCCGTAGTGCTATAAAATCAACAAAACATCGGTGCAGTAATATGTACATATACCCAAAAGCTCGTAACATATTTATACGTCACCTGTCATTCGACGAAACAATATAAAACATTTTCATTCGGATGAAACAATGTAGACCTCAACAAACCTGAACATGTGTGGAAGAAGCTCCTTCATCTCTCATACAAGCTACGGCCTCACATACTTCTCTATCTCTTCCAAGTTATTTTTAACATCAATATTTAAAATTTGCGCACTTTTATAATTATTGCTAAAACATTTTATCAGAATATAACCTACACTGCAGATGGAAATTTTATTACCACATTTGCCAATAGGTTGGTGATATTACGTTAGTGATATTTTTACATTCTTGCAAAGCCACTAACACGCATAGCGTTTCGGCCAGGTCCTTAATCTAACATATTTTGAACAGGGCAGAGGTTGGACAATTTTTTAATTCATCAGGGAGTGAGTTCCAAAGACTGGGCCCCTTTAATTTGCATGGAGTGTTTACACAGATTTAGCCTGACTCTGGGGATATCAAATAGATATTTATTTCTGGTGTGGTACTCATGGGTTCTATTACACCTATCAAGGAAAAGTTTCAGATCAAGATTAGCATTTAGGAACAAGGGTTTTGTACATGTAGATAGCACACGAGAATGTGTAGAGTGAGTATATGTTTAGCATGTTGAGGGACTTGAACAGAGGGGCTGTGAGTTAGGTTCTTTTAATTGCCTTATACAATTTAACGAATAAAAAGGTTTTCGTGCCTTAACATCTTTATATTATGATAATCACGACATATCTGCATTAAAATCAGTGTGCAATTCCGGTTTTGGCCTCCACCGCCTTCTCACTTGTTCCCTTGTAACTTGTAACTCACTTGTAACACTTATATGCTGTGCTTCCTATTTTAACCTGCTATGTTAAATGGGATTCTTGTATTGTGATTTGTGTATTTGTACTCACTGAATTTGTGCGCCCCTTGAGGGACTTGAAGTAGAGGGGGGGGGGGGGGTAGAAATAGCCTAAGCTACTCTATCCCTTTGAGATGTATTTTTTTATTGTCTCAATAAACATACTTGAACTTGAAGTGGACTTTAATGTTTTTTCGGCAGCTTTATTTCCTTAGTTTCCGAGCTGTTTTCTTTACCGTGTATGTTGTAATAAACTATTCCTATATTTACAGTTGTTTCTCCCTGTGAAGATTATTAAACAATGGTGATTATAAGGGCGCGGAAGTTCAGCCTGGCCAGGGCCGCCAGCAGCCCTTGGGCCCGCCCCGGCAGCACCCAGTCTTTAATTTGGCACCTTTGTGGCACCTTTGTGGGACCTTGGTATAAGCCTAACATGTATATATACACTGGCTGCCTGTCCCCCTACACAATGATTTATTATTACCTATTATTTTATCATTTAATTTAAATATTAAATAAAATAATTTATTTAATTATTATAGTAAGTACTTAATAATTTAATAATAAGTAGTAAGTACATAAAAATGATTAAAAAGTACAGTTTAGTCATAGGAGATTCCTAGATTGGAATTCACTACCAAATTTCAATATATCCAAGTATTTTTAGTGTGAAATGCTGTTATTATATGCATAAATTGTTGTTTTAATAATATTACGCTTAACCACTTGGGCTGGACGGTAGAGCGACGGTCTCGTTTCCTACAGGTCCGCGTTCAATCCCCGACCGCCCAAGAGGTTGGGCACCATTCCTTTCCCCCGTTCCATCCCAAATCCGTATCCTGATCCCTTCCGAGTGCTATATAGTCGTAATGGCTTGGCGCTTTCACTTGATAGTTCCCCCACCCCCCTGAATAATATTACGAGAGCAGTATTTACGGGCTATTCATGCCCGTGCCACCTCTTGGGTGGCTTAATCTTCATCAATCGAGAGCAGTACGTCCTAACCAGACGTTATATGATGATATCCTGAACAGTTGATAAATAAAAGTAATTGCGGAACTCCAGTTATCTAATACTTATCATAAATGGTATAAAACCTTATCATAAGCCAAGGGATTTGTAGATCAGTGTTTAAAGGGAATTCGGAAGTAATAATAACACAGCTGATGCCATCTGTCGGCAGAAGAGAACACTATCAACTGGCTGGTCAACAGTGGCCATAAGATACAGCTTACGCCATCTGTTGACATCAAATTACACTTATAACAAATTACCCCACAAAATACAACTAACGCCATCTAGTTTTTTTCCAACGCACTATAAATAGCCAAACAGCAACCCATAAGGCGGGTTGTTGTGCTCGGGTAGGAGGTTCCAAGCTCCGCCCACAGATGGTATGGGGTGCATAATAAATGGCATATCATTGGTAGATATTCTTTGTTGACATTCACACAACAGCCAATCACAGGAAGGGATCAGCTAAAGGCTCCATCCACTTAATAAATCATCTTTATTCAGCACACCATCCTTGCTTATGACATTCTGCTTCAACTTTAATCTACCTAAAAAGTGAAATGTTAAGTATTTAAAAGTATTAATATAGTGATAATTAAATACTGCAGGATGTAACGAGTGTTACAGAAACATGGGCTGGCTACCTAACTTGTGACGTCATCAGTGGGGGTTGCCTCACACAAATAATATCGGCGATACAATGCCTCCGCCCTCTTATTGGTCTACATTATTCAGTTAGATGGAAATTTCTGTCTTGTATAAAACAGAAATTGTTGTTCTTTTGTACAACAACAAGGTTATTGAGCAAAAGGATGTATTTCTTATTTTGCATTTTATTCATATAAGCGTTGGCATTCCCCGCAACAGCCAATCACAGGAAGGTATTTGTTGGAAACTCTGCCTTCAACAAAGTTGATTCCTAATGAACTCTAACAATAAATTCGTTTAATAAACGAGTATTTAGGGTCAAGCTACAGATGAACATTATAGGATAACGGTGTTTTAGCTTGCAGCTTCGTTAGACAGAATCCCTGGTCTTAATTTTAAAAATAAAGAACCAGAAAGCGTATTTTATTGCTAACTTTTCGAGAAATAAATCCCAGTCTCATATTTGCGTACATTTATGCATTGATTTTTTGGCTTAAGTTCTTATCATAATCCCTTTTGCAATCTCAACACCATCTAGCTCGTATCTTGTAACTATCTTCGTTACTTAGCCTCAAAACCTTACATTTGTCTTGCATATCCACAACAGTAGATAAAAAAAAGTAATTGCAGGATTCTAGTTACCCAATACCAGCATGGTATAAAACCTTATTATAAGCTACCAGACGTATAGATCAGTGTTTAAAGTAATAATAATACATTATTATTAATGTAATAATATTATTAAAATAATAATAATACAGCTGATGCCATCTGTCGGCAGATAAGAACACTATCAACTCCAAGCCTGATGCGATGTAAGTGCACTTCTGTTGTTCTACTGCCCCCTTTCATCAAACTAAGTGGTTCGTAGTTGGTTGAATTCTTGTACCAACCCGCAGATCCTGATGTTGCAACTGCTGTGTTGTGGTCACTGTACATCTTTTGCATTGCTCTGTTTCGAATTACTTTCTTCATCTGGGATAGACTCTGTGGTATGTAAATGTCTACATTCCTCCTCTTAGTAGCAAGTTTTGCAGCTTCGTCTGCAATGTCATTACCTATTAGTCCCACATGACTTGGCACCCAGTTGATAAGTACCCGTCGGCCTTGTCGTTGGAGTGTGTGCATGAATGATAAGACATTGGTGATCAGATGGATGTTATCACATATGTGTTCTTGTTGCATGGCACTATCAACTGGCAGGTCAATAGTAGCCATAAGATACAGCTTACGCCATCTGTTGACATCAAATTACACTTATAACAAATTACCCTACAAAATACAACTAACGCCATCTGTTTTTTTTCCAACGCACTATAAATAGCCAAACAGCAACCCATAAGGCGGGTTGTTGTGCTCGGGTAGGAGGTTCCAAGCTCCGCCCACAAGATGGTATGGGGTGCATAATAAATGGCATATCATTGGTAGAAACTCTTTGTTGACATTCACACAACAGCCAATCACAGGAAGGGATCAGCTATAGGTGCCATCCACTTAGTAAATCATCTTAGTTCAGCCCACCAGTCTTGCTTATGGAATTCTGCTTTAACTTTAATTTACCCAAAAAAGTGAAGTGTTAATTATTTAAAGTGTTAATAAAGTGATAATTAAATATTGCAGGATATAACAGATGTTATATAAAAATGGGCTGCATGGCTACCTAACTTGTGACGTTATTATTGGGGGTTGCCTTGACACAAATAATGATACACTGCTCTGCCCTCTTATTCGAGTAAATTATTCAGTTAGATGGAGATTTCTGTCAGGTGCAAAACAGAAATTGTTGTTCTTTTTCACAACAACCTTGTTGTTGTGCACAAGGACCTATTTCTTAGTTTAAATTTTATTCATAAAAGAGTGTTGGTATTCCCCGCAACAGCCAATCACAGGAAGGTATTTCTGGAAGCTCGGCCTCCTTATGGACTCAGCACATCGATCTAGCTCATGGCTCTCTGTTTCATCTCTTGTATATACAAACTATGACTTTTTTCGATTACTGTTATAATTAATAATATGAGATATAAAAGTTTTTACACAAAATGGCTAAATTCTGCCATTAAATGGACTTTGTCTGGTATACATACAAACATACACCAATTTATTACCATTCATCCATTATTAATTTCAAATGTAATGTATACTGTCTAGTTTTTTTCCTCTCGCCATTACTTGGTGCAATATTTGAAAGTTGTCT